GTAACTCCCAGGTCCTTTTTTTGCAGAGCTACTGCTTAGCTAGTTGGTCCCCAGCCTGTACTGGTGCATGGGATTGTTCCGTCCTAAGTGCAAGACTTTGCACTTGTCCTTTATTGAACATCCTGAGATTTCATAGTTTCATAGTTGGTAGGGTTGGAAGGGACTTGAGCAGATCATCAAGTCCTACCCCCTGCCATGGCAGGAAAGAAAGCTGGGGTCAAACGACCCCGGCTAGGTGATTATCTACCCTCCTTTTGAAGACCCCCAGGGTAGGAGCGAGCACCACTTCTCTTGGAAGTTTGTTCCAGAACCTAGTCACCCTGACTGTGTAGTAGTGCCTCCTGATATCTAGCCTGAATCTAGTCTTGGTCAGCTTGTGGCTGTTATTTTTTGTTACTCACGGTAGTGCTTGGGGGAACAGGGGCTCTCCCATTGCTTGCTGGTCCCCCTTGGCCAGTTTATAGACAGTCACCAGATCCCCTCTCGGCCTTCTCTTGTGGAGGCTGAACAGGTTCAGGTCCTGTAGCCTTCTCTCTTGGGGCCTGTCTGCTGCCCCCTGATCATGCGAGTGGCCCTCCTCTGGACCCTCTCAATGCTGTCCACATCCCTCCTGAAGTGCGGCGCCCAGAACTGGATGCAGTACTCCAACTGCGGCCTGACCAATGTCACATAGAGGGGGAGGATCACCTCCTTGGACCTGCTCGTGATGCATCTGTGGATGCATGACAAGGTGCGGTTAGCCTTTCTGACCGCGTCCTCACATTGGCAGCCCCTGTTCATCTTGGAATCAGCAATGACTCCAAGGTCCTTTTCTGTCTCTGTGCTGATGAGAAGGAAGTTCCCCAGCCTGCTGCTGGTTCTTCCTCCCCAGGTGCAGTACCTTGCACTTGTCAGTATTGAAACCCATTCTGTTCTCGGCTGCCCACCACTGTAACCTGTCCAGATCTCGTTGTAGCCTGTCCCTCTCCTCTAGCGTGCCCACTTCTCCCCACATCTTAGTGTCATCCACGAATTTGAACAAGGTGCTTTTCACTCCCTCGTCCAAGTCACTGATGTTGAACAGTGCGGGCCCGAGGACTGAGCCCTGGGGAACCCCACTGCCCACATCCCTCCAGGTCGAAAATGGCCTGTCCACCACCACTCTCTGGGGATGCATGACAATTTCTTTTGGTCCAATCCTCCAATCTGTCAAGGTCTATCCTCCAGCGTATCTAGTACTTCCCCCAGCTTAGTGTCAATCTGCAAACTTGCTGAGGGTGCACTTAATTCCATCTTCCAGATCATTGATGAAGATATTGAACAAAACTAGCCCCCGGACTGACCCCTGAGGCACTTCCCTTGGTACTGGCTGCTAACTGGACATCAAGTTATTGATTACTGCCCTATGAAGCCAATGATCCAGGCAGTTGGATCTCTTCTTTTTTGTTCCTTTCTGCTTCCCTCTCTCTTCTATTTCTTCCACCAGAGGCTTTGTATAATTTCATAGTGTTTACAGTTGGACTTTTTGTAGTGATAATTAATGTGATTGAAAATTCTAGTTAAATCCACCTTACAGTCTGTTCATCCTTATACTTCCTTAGCTTGCTTATGAGAATGTTGTCGGAGGCTGTATCAAAAGTCATGTTAAAGTCAAGTTATATCATGTCCACTGCTTTCCCCGTGTCCACAGAGGATTGTCGTAGAAGGCAGTCAGATTGGTCAGTCTTGGCTTGCCCTGGATGAGTCCATGCTGACTGTTCCTAATCACTTTCTCCTCCTCCAAGTACTTTGAAATGGATTCCTTGAGGACCTGCTCCATGATTTTTCCAGGGACTGAGGTGAAGTTGACCAGTCTAGTTCCCTGGATCCTCATTTTTCCCTTTTTTAAAAGATGGGCACTATATTTGCCTTTTCCAGTTGTCCAGGACCTCTCCCAGTCTCCACTAGTTTTCAAAAATAATGGCCAGTGGCTTTGTAGTCACAGCAGCCAACTCCCTCAGCATACTCGGATGCACTGTGTCTGGTGACCCCGTGGATTTGTACATGTCCTGCTTTTCTAAATAGTCCTTAACCTGTTCTTTTGCCACTGTTGGCTGCTCACCTTCTCCCCAAACTGTGCTTCTGCTTGCAATAGTCTGGAAGCTGCCCTTCCCTGTGAAGACTCAGTTAAAAAAGGCCTAGATTACTTTAGCCTTTTCTGCATTGACTGTCATTAGGTTGCCTCCCCCAAGGGACCCACACCTTCCCTGATTTTCCTCTTGATGATAACATGCTTGTAGAAACCCTTCTACAGTAAAATCTCCATTATCCGGCATGAGTAGGGAATGGTGGGTGCCATTAATGTAAAAATGCCAGTTATCTAAAAATAGCAAGGCCATGGGTGGGGGGCTTGCATGTGGTGGTGGCAGAGCGGGGTGGTGGATGGCAGTAGTGGTGGCGTGGGGGGGTTGCACGCAGCAGTGGTGGTGCAGAGTGGTGGATGGTGGCGGCGCAGTGCCGGTTAATAGAGTATACCAGCTAATAGAATGCCAAAAAACAGGGATTTTACTGTAGTTAGCCTTCACGTTCCTTACTAGCTGTAACTCCAATTGCATTTCAGCCTTCCTGATTTTTATCCCTGCATGCCCAAGCAGTACTCTTGTATCCCTCTCTAGTCATTTGTCCAAGCAGGTAAGCATTATAATAACTAAATTAGTTTTGAAATGGGGTACTACTTAATTCACAAAAGTTACGGGGGGCTTTCAGACTAGGGTTACTGTATTTCCAGTTTCAAAAAAAGAGAACACCTGTTGGGGTGGGGGGTAATATGATTGTGCGCGCGTGTGTGTGTGGGGCAGAGGGCAGTGATATGCCCTGCTGCTGCCTCTTACTCCTGATCCACAGTACCCCACCCCGCAGATCATGTTGATACCCCTCACTCCCAACCCACAGTCCCCTGGCACTGCCTGTACCCTGCACTCCTGACCCACAGTCCCCTGCCCCCCCAGTGCCCCTCACCCCCAAGCCACAGCCCTGCCACTGCCCCTCACTCCTGACCCGCAGCCCCCTGCCCTCCCAGTCCTACTGGTGTCCCTCACTCCTGACCCGCATCCCCCTGCTCCCTGCAGCATTTTCTGGCTGCCCCACCTCTGTGAGCACAGGCACCAACCCTGGTGCTACCGGCCCAGCTACGCAGCTCCGTGCTCCCCGTGCCCTTCCCCTGCTGGAGAGGCAGGCGCCTCCCCCACGCTGGTGCAACCCCAGCGCCCGGACAGCTTCTCCCAGTACCAGCAGGCACCCGCCCCCCTCTCACACACCCATCCCCTCCACACACCCCTGCCACCCTCTACTCCCCCATACCTCTTCCTTAAAATTCTGAATATAGGGGATAGGAAGAGCAGGTAAGAGAAAAGAGGTAAGCTGTCATATCTTTCATTTTCCTTTATTTTGGTATCTATCAACTGTCGATATGTTGAAATTAATCCCTCCCCCCTCTACCACATACACACATTTTTTACAGGATTCCAGTTAATGGGGGCAACTACAAGACAACTGTGTTGTAACAAGCCCCCATAGGATCAGAAGAAACATTGGCTTAAAGAGGGTGTTCATCCTGATGGAGTTTGTCAGTTTGCTTCATTATCAAAATGAAAAGATCAGTTCTGCTGTTGGGATTGTTAAAAGCGAGGGGCTGCTTATATTGAATTTGTGCTATATTTCTGCCTGAAATGTTGCTTACTTCACAGGAATATCATAGGGCTTAATTCATATCCAATTCAATTTTTTTAAACACAATGCTATGCAATACCAGCTAAGTTCTATTTCGATCATTCAAAAAGTAAACCATTTTCTACCAACTATCTGCCTAACATTTATTACCATCATTCCTTTTTCCCTTTACCCTTTTCTTTCCTTTCCCTTTTTCATTTTATCAGTAGCATCCACATTTTAGTTTCCACACACTTTTTGATATGTCTGATTGGATCTCTTCTTTTTTGTTCCTTTCTGCTTCTCTCTCTCTTCTATTTCTTCCACCAGAGGCTTTGTATAATTTCCTAGTGTCTACAGTTGGACTTTTTGTAGTGATAATTAATGCGATTGAAAATTCTAGTTAAATGTCACACAAATATTGGTTATTTAATCCTTGGCTGCAGCCGAAAACACAAATAAAAATTCAAGTGTCAATACAGTCCTAATCAAGAGATGAATTCAAATATCTTTAGGACATATCAGAACGATTTGTGTCGGTTACTAGATAGAGGGTGACTCTGTCTTAGAAAAACTAGTAACAATTATTTGCTGATAGTTCAGTTGCCAGGCTGCTAAGCTGCTATTGTAGGCAAACCTAAGGCAAGCTTACAGGGGTGCTTTCTAGACTAGAAAAAAGTTGGAATTTGGGTTGTGCTTAATATGAGCTATTTAGGAACAGGCCAGAATCCGACCATTTTTCCTACTGTAGATGTGGGGTTAGGCCCCTTAGTGGATTTTAGTAGGTGTTATATGCAGCAGTTCAGCCTGGCCACTAAAACAGCTCTTGTGTTAAGTTACTTAAAAGAACGTGGCGTTAGAAAAATGTGGGATTCCAACACTCCGGGGCTGAATTTAACCTCTAAGAAACCCAGCTTTGTAACTTGTTAAAATGTTATTCTAAATCATTTGCATAGAAGAAAAGCTACTAGAATATCAGTTTGTCTTTATTTTATGTTTAAAGAAAAACCACCACCACATTAAACTTCTGATCAGAAAGAAAATTGCTTCTGCAGTCCTCTTGCAAAAAGTGACAAATTTCATAGCACACTATTTTTGAGCCTTCTTCTTTAATGGTAAACAGTCTTAGCTTATTATTTAACATTCAGTGACCTTGGTTTCTAAATACTACTTGGAGTTTACAGGTAACTTTTTATGCTTCAGGTTAATATAAAAATTTATTGTAAATGAAATAATTATTTGTATTTAATTAGTGAATATTGGTGTATAGTGTGATGCTGAAAATCTCTTTATCATCTTCCTCATTGCTTTTTTATTTTTCTGCTCTTTACCAGATTTGCATCTGCAGGAGATGATGGAATTATATTTTTGTGGAATGCTCAGGTTAGTTTGGTTTTTCAGAGGTGAATTTGGGGGGAGAGGGGCTGATTCTGTTCTTCAACCCAGCATAAAGGGAGGTTCACTCCACTGAACTTAATGTAACTGTGTGCAGCATATTATACAATTGTTGTGACTGCAGAATTGACTAGGAGCGCCTTCATTCACAGGAGACAAACGATAGTATAAATAAGAGTTGGTTTTATAGGGATGTCTAATTGAACAAAAATAAAAATATTTAGAAAGTTTCAGGCTTGTCAGCTTCAGAAAAGTTGGATGTGAAACTGAGCATCTGAGAGA